GTGCATTGAGGATTATGGTAATGAAGGTCGTTTCAGTCTAGAAATACAATGTGTTTCACGGAATCGTTGTTCGAGGTGCAGAAGGAGGAGGACAAAAAACCGGCGTTAAGCAATTCTTTCGTTGCCTTTCACTGAGTGAGTGAGGTTACCGGACCGAGGGACTCCAAGGCAGCAACGCACCTGTGACTTTTGAGTTGCAGGTGTCCATGGGCGGCGGTAGTTGCTTACCATCAGACGACCCGTCTGCTCGTTTGCCCTCTTATACCATAAAAAAAATACAATGGTAGCAAAACAAACTTGAATAGCCAATATCTATGTGAGGATGGAAGTTTTGTCGCATAGCCTAAAACACTACAAATTCTTTTCCCAGAAAGTGCTGTCTCGTAACTATGTATGGTAAATAGACAAAATTATGTCAGTTCCATTTTTTAAGTGCATTATATTTTCGTAGTAGGTTAAGTATTAAACACTCAACGTTGACGGTAATATGATTATATATTGTGACAGAAAGTTGAATCGGTTATCTGCTAGTATTAGTAATACTTTACCACTAAAATACCTTTTATAACATTTGAGAGACAGAGAGATCGGAACTGAATTTTAATCGAATTTTTATTACGAATACTGACTTATGACCGCAAAAAGAAGGAAAACTTGACACAAACCCTATACCAATCCGTCTGACCAGCGTGGTATAGTAGGCCAAAACCTCCTTTTTAAGGAGAGGCCTATGTCCAGCAGTGGACTGTTAAATGCTATTGATGTGATGTGATAATATGACTGACCCTCCGGTGTATCACTCGTAAGCGTATGAATAAACCTTTTTATGTTTAACACCCGCGGGTAAAAAAAACCGGTTTTCATAAATTTAACGTTTACAATTTTGTATCTAACTGTGGTGTCATAACTCCTCCCTGTTTTGTTCAACATATGCTTCCATCGAAAGTATTCTCAGCTACAATTCAGGTGTTTGAATAGAATTTGATATTTTCTAATCACAGCGTAGAGTCAGGCACATTATATTTTTAAGTCGTACTTTTTTTTATTGTTATACTAAATAGCACAAAGATTATGAGTACATTGTAGGCTATCATAGCATATATTGCATGACACAAATATAACTCACTTTCAACGCAGATAGCAATACAAAGTTGTATGAACTGGTGATAAACGGTTAGTCCTCTTTTCGTGATTTAATTATGCGAAATGATTCATTTGACCAATTATGATTGCTTGTTTTTAGCACTAGCGCTAGTTAATCATTTTAACGTTGCAAACCGTTATAACAGCTTTTTAATATGCAACATATTAATGTAGTTTTGGAGAATAACTTTTTTATATAAGGTTACAGGTTACACAGGTTATTATTATTGACTTCGTTCGCGTGGAATTTGAAAAGCGCTGCCTTAGTGGGTTCGATTCCCGGACCGGGATTTTTTTTTATAGGGTTTTTCTGTTACTCCTTATATAGACAGCTAACTGGTAGTAAAATATTATCAAAATCGGTCCAACCTTTTAGAAGATTACCAGGGAACAAACACAGACAGACAAAAAAATAAACTGGTTTTTAGGCATAGGTATCGTGCAAATAAACGTGTGAGCATTAAAAAAACCTATTATTTTGATATTACAAACAGACACTTCAATTTTATTTATTTGTATAGATATGTTAAAATGGATTCAAAATATGCTTGCAAAATATGGAAAATGCTTTTTCATATTTTTGGGCACATATAATCGTTGGAAAGCCATGCGGAATGGGAATGGGCCGGCTTCATCGGAATGATAGCACGGCCTCACACAAAACTGCGAGTTTAGCAATATTAAGTTATAAGCATTTATTTCATTGCTTTACACTGAGTGAATGAAGTTACCCTCTCTGTCCACTAAAATCCATTGAAAAGATGAATCATTTTTGTGTACTTTCATGTCCTGGATGAATCTTTTCAATGGATTTTAGTGGACAAAGGGAGGTTGCCGTAGCCCCAAAACATCCTCCCCCCTAATACGAACTTCTGGCCTGACTTTTGAGCTGTAGGAGTGTTGGAGGGTTAATTTAAAATGTACCTGTTTTAAAGTAAAAGTTTCTAAAGTAAAACCGTGACACAACAATAAATTATTATATACAAAGCTGTAACAGAGTACACACAGCTGTCTAAACGTGGGAATAAAGGCGTGAATACATTACAGGACAAACAATCAAACAATACAACCACGTAATGTTTATGAGAATTTAACTATATGTAAGTGAGAAAACTATAACCTTGGTATCTATCTATCCTTGCTGACAAATCCCCATTCTTATGACCACTATAAAAATATTAGCAGGGTCTTTGGGGTTCGTGGCAAGATGTGACTAGCATTTTATTTTCGTAGAAGATGTGGTAGCACATTAACAATAATGCGACGTCGTTTTAAAGGACCCCGTTCATTGCAGAAACTCAACACAAGGTAATTTATCTGCGTTCTATTTTAAGGGTAGGCAAGGGTTAGGGTAAAGCGCTCGATTGAGGAGGTATATACCGAGGTATGTATAATAGGCAACTCACTATGTTACGGGGCCGCAGGCTGCCAAAGAGTGGGGACCTCTTGTGGCAGATTAATTGTTGCGGGAGGCGATAGAATGGGGCTGAAATAACATGGTCCGGGTCCTCCCCAGAGCAGGGGGCCTGAAACCGGCTGTCGGAGTGGTTTTTTTAGTGGAAAAACCACATACTTTGGCTTCTGCGTCCGTTAAGAGCCGGAGATCCGAAGAAATATTCCACCCGTCAACAAAAAAAAAGGCTACTCACTATGTTACTGTTAAATGATTACAATAACGATTTGTCATAAAGCCAAAATTTAAAATATCTCTCATTTAAAATCAATGCAGTGAATATATATAGAGAGAGAGAGAAGTGAACAGCCTACTGACATTTCTAACAACCAAATTCCGTATGTTTAAAAAGAAAATTATGTAACGGATTTATAACCACCAAGTACTGTATTATCATCCTATTGTATTACACTAATCCTCACCTTCGAACCAGAGTGAGAAAACAATACCCACGTCACAGAGAATCAAGATGCTCTCGGAAACAAGATGTTTATCTCTTTTACACATACCTGTAAATACTCAGAATCCCAGAAGTGATAAACATAGCGTCATAAATACATCCGATATATCTCCTAATAACTCGTAAACTTTGACTTGAGACGTGAAGGAAATAACTGTTCGATCAACATCTATATAGAACGATACAGAGGAATAAAAGGAGAAGGAATGCCAAACTTTGTTTTCAGTACTTGAAGTTTGAAAATCGGAGGCGACTACCACGTAACTTTGGGGTAAAAACTTTTCGACTTTTGTAATGACTCTCGCAATAGAGGAGTTTAAATTTCAGATCAACGCCGTGGCGTTGGTCTTTTTTTTTTCCGTGCGGAAATCCCCTCGGATACCACCATGTTGTGTCCGAGGGGATTTCCGCATTGTGGTGGCATGTCGGACTCGAACCGACTAAAACCGCACGCCGTCTCGGGTACTAATAGCCGGGGAACCAGGTGTACCCTAGAAAGGAAGTCCCTGATGCGGTGGCGTTGGTCTGAAATTTTGATTGACACCTAAGTCACGTGTGAGTTAGGTGTGACGAGGCGTTTTCAATTAATTTAATAAAACCCCTATGAGTGGTATTAAATGTGGCTTTTAAACGAATTATTTGCTGAGCTAGAGGTGGTGGGTACGGATTACCATCCAGGACAAATTATTGTGGATGGTTGGCATAGTACAGGCTCTGCCTAATTTCAGATACCACGTGCCTTGTCTAGTGGCTATTATTAGTTTGACGACATTAAAAAACATTAGATACAAATTACAAATCTTCAAAATCCTTACTTAAAATTCTAAACTTTTACTTAAAATTCTATGTCCTATTTTATAAAAAGCCGTACAGTTCATCAAATAATCATGAGACATTACACACACGTGGCCAGGAATACAGATAAGGATTAAGGCTATACTTTTAATTCAGAACAAAAATTTGTCCGACTTTGAGAGTTTATAGTATTAACATCACGCTTTGACCCCAATGATGCAGAGCATTGACCATAAACAATTGTAAGCCACCGAGAATCCTAGTAATAGATATCACTATAAGAGGTGCCACGTAACCTATCATAGACAAAATAGTGCTATTACATAACATAACTGTAATATTAAACAAAACAAAACATTATATTACACGTCCTAGTAACCGACAATAACCTACGTGACATCTATCCAATAATGCTGACTCATGCTGACTTTCGATTTCAGTTCGTACAACCGCAAACTGTTGGAGAACTCGGCTTAATGGGTTTCAATCTCATCGTTTATTTGGTAGTTGAGGTAAATTTCTGGCTTGTTTTAACTTAAATATTTAAGAGGTTATTAGCGGTTCTAATTTTAAGCTATTAACTAGACTTTTATATCGGTTACGGTACATAAAGTAAGAAATTTTAAGATCATACAGTTACATAGAGAATTGCGTGCCGCTTGAATTTAGACCGATTATTTGGTTTCTTTTATTAGGTATTGGAATATAAATGTCTGTCTGTCTAGTTCACCTGATGGACTTGACCTATTAAGGAGACTTAAACTTGAAATACGCATGTTTCTATGTGGTATTTGTCTGCTTCTTCCTTCATCTAAAAAAGATAACTCCCGCACTAGGAATCTATAATATCGTCGCGAGAGACTTTACAAACATACATGAAACGCACAAAGAACATCTAGACATAGAACAAAAATAAGTGGATGACACAATGTCCAATGTGGGGATCGAACCCACAACACTCAGCGCAGTAGAAAGCGGCGAGGTGACTACTTAAACCACTACGCCATTCGTTAATCATCACCTTTATTAATTGTAGGTACGTACATCCTTTATTTCAACCCTAAGGTATATTTACTGGCAGAGAAAGGTTTGTCGGAGTTTAAATTCAGAATCACAAATATCGTATGCATAGAAAAGACAATAGGTTACCTCATTCCCGTATGCTAGTAAATGATGAACGGTGATTAGAGCTTTATAAACGACCACCCAGTTCGTGTTCTGTGTGCGCTCGACCAACAAGTTGGCCAGCTGTGGTATCGACACGTTGGGCTCATTTGTGCAGTGGACTAGATCTGAAACAAGATAAAAATAACTTTAACGTACGAGTTTAAAGATTAATTGGGATTACTAGGAAACCTTCATAAATAACTTTTCTATGTACTGTGGCGACTCTGTCGGAAGTCAACATCCGCGGATTATCAGCATTGTTTTCAATTTCAGCATCAGCAACAATCGACGCTGATTTTAATTATATGTATTTATTCGTTGAAGGACCTAGCGCCAGTCAAGTAGAGTTACCTTATTTACACATAAGAACACAGTATTTAACAGTACCATAAAAGTCAAAACGTGAAGCCGTGTTAATAGTCCGTGTAAAATTTTTACATCAAGACCTACGAACCAACTTTATATATTTTTTTTATGGTATAAGGGGGCAAACGAGCAGACGGCTCACCTGATGGTAAGCAACTACCGCCGCCCATGGACACCTGCAACTTAAAAGTCACAAGTGTGTTGCTGCCCTTCTAGTCCCTCACACTCGAGTCAGCGGGAGATTTAGGCTCCAGTAACCTGTCACTCAGTGTCAATATCTCAAACATTTCTAATCTAAATATAGGTATAATTCTGGAATTAGAAATTACAGTGTGCAGATACTGCTACTTTCTTAGAAATTTAATTCCAAACAATTCATTTCTCCAGATGTTACGCGTTTCAATCACTGAATATTATAATTACTTCAAAATTATATTTGCAACAAGTTTTCATCATTTATATATATGTTAATTTTGTTATTTTAATTGCAGACATTCTAGTATCTAAATAGCGTAACTTTGTTGATTAGAAACAAACAGATGTGGACTAGTTCAGTAATGTGACACGACCAGATACATTGTATTCGTATCATACGATTATTTCGTCTAACAACAGACTCGTATGGTTTTTATCATAATGCTATAAACAAATTAAAACAGGTTTTATTTATTTTAGCTTTATAACGTGTTGCTATACAGCGTAGTCTTCAACATATCACATTCATCTCTTAATTGTATCTTTCTCACAGCTAATCAATCAGTAAATATTGTGTACAGTAATTCGACGGGCCTGTTGGTCTAGTGGTTAGTGACCCTGACTGCTAAGCCGGTCGTGCGTTCGATTCCCACCCAGGACAAATAATTGTATGATGAGCACGATGATTTGTTCTGTGTCTGGGTGTAATTAGCATAGGCTCTGCCTAGTTTGGAATCAGACTGCCGTGTGTTAACTGTGTAAAGTTATTATTATTATATTAATTGGACTCCAGGTTTACAAACTTTATAAGGTTATATTTCGTTGTAGAAGTTAATAATCTGTTGTCTTTATCTTACAAATAAAATTAAATATAAGATCACAATGCTAGAATCATCATCATCCTCTTCCTGCCTTTCATACATCATCAATATACATAATCGTTGGGAGAGCCATGTTTCGGTAAATACGGCACGGCTCGACCGAACGGTGGTAATCAATTCACTTTTTCATTGCATTTTACGGAGTAAGTGACGTTACTGGAGACATGACCCCCCCCCCCCCCTACATCATTCTAGCGGATGCACTTGAGTTGTAGATATCCAAGGGCGGCAGTAGTCATTTATTCATTAACATAACTTTATACAATCTTGCATCAGGTAACCCGACTGCTGGTCATGGCCGAACATCGACATTGAGATTTTGTTATTGGTATAATGTACCAAACAACAAATGTTCTAGAACAATACTTTTTCAAATACGTACGTACCTATTACTTTACTGATAAAGTTTACTTATCATAACATTTATTGGTATGACTAATCCCTACCTCACATCTTCGTAACTCCTGTACACTAGAATCAACAGCAGTGACCCACGAACACACCGAGTTATGAGTTCCAAGAAAAATTAAACCGTCTTGGAACCCGCAACAAAATAATTCAAAAGAAAATTGGAGCAGTTTAAAAAATATAATAAATCCACTTCCCTCGTTAGCAAAGCGGGAGACAAATAATAATAGGCATACCTTCTTTTGAACAAGGAAACATCACGGACACTAAAGAGTATGGATACTAGGTAAGTGACCGTTATTGGCAATCTTACTTTACAAAAGATGAAAATTGCCAGATATATAAGATATATATGTAAACATAGAAAAGTGGTTATAAAACCTTTAGACAGAAAGAGTGATTAAGAAGTGGCTATAAAATACGTGATGAATATAAAAAGAAAGGCGTTGTATCGTTTAGAGTTAGGTGGTTAGTCATTTCAAGACTTGGCGAAAACAAATGGTATTGAAACGGCTAAGAAGTAATGACAAAGGTTAAAGGGTGAAGGATGAATTACGTTTACTTTACAAATGTCCATTGGCTAGCGTATTGCCTGAAATATGGTTATTTACACAAATTGATGAGTACAAATACCTTTGTGAAGATAAACTGTCTAAGGACCTGTTTGACCGTCTCACAGGGTGGGAACGCATTTGTGTCTCCTTAGTTGCAGATGTCAATAGACGGCGGTTGTCACTTTCCAATAAGTAACCCATGTGCTCATTCGCCATACGGTACCATAAAATTAAGCGCATTTTATAATAAAAAAATAACCTAAACATTAAAACATTTAAAAAGAAAAACTAAGAAAGAGGCTGGCAGCGGACTGATGAGGACTGCCCAAGACCGGGGTAGTTGGCGCTCATTGGGGGACGCATTCGTTCAGTTGACTTCGTAAGGCTGATGATGATGATGAAAAATTATCATACATCTTCAACTTTGTCGTCGATACTAATTGCAAATACCGCCTCGGTACTTTTTTTAATGACAACTCCCGCACTCGGAATAAATCCTGTGTCGCAGGGACTTTACAAAGATACATCAAACGGGCACAAGGACACCCAGACTCAAACAATTTGTGGATCACACAAAGTGTCGTCCCATGTGGGGATCGGACCCACAACACTCAGCGTAGTAGTAAGCGGCGTGGCGACCGCTTAGATAACTACGCCATCCGTGCAGTCAAACAGGGTCGCCATTCTCTAGTAAAATACTAAGCTAAGACGTTAGACTTATAGCGTCATTCTTCGAAGTCATTATTAGACCGACCTATGTATTTGAGAAATTTCGAGTAATTTAGACCACCTTAAGATTAAGATAAACTTCTACAGATAGAGTATTTTCATAGACATAAGATAAACAAAGACAGATTACAATTCTACTGAATAAAATAACATTCCAAGCTTTCACGAATACATAAAGATTATTTTAATTTAAATAATTTAAAAAAATATGTATAATACATATATTGATAATGAAATGTTTTCACTGGTAAGCCGCATAACTTGAATATAACTAGACAGATTTGCATATAATTTTATGATAGTTACAGGACTGTTACAGAGCCCCAAAACTGTAACCGAAACTATCGGATACCCAAAAAAAGTATCCGAAACAGTAATTGATAAAAAAGATTTAAATAAATTCAGATACCTTATTTTTGGAATTTAGATAAGACAAATGTTTTTATTGTGTAAATATTTACCATCTATATATGTATAAATATTATGTTGGTTTGTGTACGCTTGAAAACTCACAAAGTTCTAAGACAGATTGGACTCAAATTTTAACACGTCTAAAACCCACTTTAATTCTTTTATCAATTTTTAACGTTAGTTTCATTTCTCCATATATAGCAGGGTATTAATTATTTAAGCAAAAACTATGCTACATCATCTGTTCATATAAATAGAATACAGGTTATGGCAACATACCAACATGGCATTTGCGTTGACCTTTTCACAAGGCTTAGATAACCATTCGAGACATCTTTTACACCATAAAAAGTGCAATTTATTTGCACTTAGGTTCTTCACGGGTCAAGTCGTCTGCCCGATGTAGCTCACTTATGTAACCTATAAGAGGATAGCAGAAGTAGGATAGGATAACAGAACTACTATTACAGATACTGAAATATGGAAAAAGCAGAATCATCTAGTTGAAAAACAACATTAGAATAACTCTTCTGGTTGGAAGCCCATTATTGGAAGTTTTGTGTTTTTACCTGTACATCATGTTTGTGTTTTTACTTTATAGGCATAGCTCCAGTTTTGAAGAAGCGACAAACCAATTTCATCGTCAACATCAACAGCCTTTAGCAGTCCGCTGCTAGACATATGCCTCTCCTTAAAAATATTTTGGTCTACTATACTACGCTGGCCAGACGGGTTGGTATACGGATTTGTTTTAAGTTTTCCTTCTCTTTACAGTGCTTTTGGTCCTGAGTAGTTTGTTCCCTTAGTCGACTCCTACGTCACCCACCGGATGAATAGGGGTGGTAACTGTATTCTTATTCCATCACCACACGGACTTTTTTACTCAAACTAAGTATTTTTTTCTTTTGCCCAAAGATATGGCCAACTTGTTGACCCACCAATTTGGCCCATTCAAGATACAAATTCCACGATCATACACAAATTATATGTCGGTTTTAGCGATAAAAACTAGCATATTTTACTCAATGTAGCTTTCCATTGGTGAAAAAAATATTAATGTCGGATTAGGCGGGAAAGCGTGCACCAGGGACTTCCTTTCTAGGGTATACCTGGTTCCCCGGCTATTAGTACCCGAGACGGCGTGCGGTTTTAGTCGGTTCGAGTCCGACATGCCACCGATAGGTGGTATCCGAGGGGATTACAGCACGAAAAAAAAAACAAGGCGGGAAAGCGTAACAAACAAAGAAACTTTCACATTTATAATACAAATATGGATTCAAGTGGAACTAATCTGAAAGCTAAAAATGCCTTACATAAAGAAGAATCAAATAACCTACGTGCCCATCCTTATTTAATGTTGAAGCTCATTTTGAAGATAACCGTTCTACAGTTGGTTAATCAAATCATCTCAGAAATTAGATCTAACGGATATAATTGAATCAATGGCTAAGCGGTCATTGCACTGATCCCTAAGGGTGTCCTTATGATACCTGGGAATCTTTGAAGAGTCCTCAGAAGGGATTGTGGCGGTTCTGGATTAGTAGGCATTGTTGAAGTTGAAGACAAACTGAAGACAAAATG